TCTGTCTGGACAGGGTTGGGATAGCTACTGAAAAATTAGTAGTTAGCTACTTTCCCAAAATTTGTAGCGAGCTACAATTTAGCTACTTTTCCAGAAAAAGTAGTGGCTACTTTTTAGCTACTTTTTGAAAAGTAGTGCACTACTTTTTAGCTATGGGTTAGCTAAGAGTGCGATTGTCAGAATGTTTGTGAATCTCCACCTGACACACCAAACAAGCCCAACTGATAGTGTGAACAAGACACTGCATTTAGTCATGTGCCAGAAAGAAATATACAATTTAAAAGCTGCAAATATACAAAAAGATCACCAAAAAGTCAGTTTAAGTGTAACCAACAATCTTACACAAACTTACACAACCAAAGGTGTGATATCCAACAAAAATGTAGACTAAGTAAAGGCAAAGTCCTTCATTCCAGGTTTTTTCCTAACAAAAATCAATAAAAATAACCAAATACAAACCAAACAATTTAATGCAAGGCATTATCAACTGTTAAAAATAAAACTGCTCTAATTTAAACATTTCAGCAAGAAATGTACAGACATGACATTCAGTCCTTTGTTAAACTTCAGCAACACTTCAGCCTCAAAATTTGTATCAGTGACCCTGACTCTGCAGAGTACTATTAGTAATACTCTATTACGAAAATGTTTTTTCCACTTTAGCTAAGACAGGGGTCAGCAACATGCGGCTTATAACTGTTAACAGGGCCGTAACTAGGATCAGAATTTTTGTGAGGTCCATTTTACAGAAATGTTACTCACATCTGATTTGATTTTGTTTCATTTACCTCTCTCTCTATCTTTGCTTGTCTCCTTTGCATCTCTCTACTCACTCATTATTATAAAAGCACACATTAAACATATGTTATGAAAGGCTGTCTGTACCAAAGCCCATCCAAAGGGAAAAGCGGCTACTCATATAGTTAATGAGACAAAATATAGTCTAATATACCTGCTGATTTCGTAATGTTTGCTACATGATACTATACCTTCAATATGCTGGTTAACAGTGAACTTTAATGTTGCTTGTAGTCTGTTATGGTTAGATAACACAATATAACTTTAATTTCACACCTAATGTCTAAGATTTAAGAGAAACATTGATCATTTGTAGATGAATGGACTTATTTGCATTTAAAATCACTCCAGCTGGTTTCCGGATACGTTTAATCTGCAACGAGAAACTGTCAAACACTAAGTCGTGAAGCCAGCTTACAGCTTTTAGCGCTCACACTCCTTCCACCAGCTGCACGAGGCTGAAGTTGGCTTCCTATTTGAATTTTCCAGTTCCACTTTAAATGGTGCAGCAGTTACACTCCGGCGCTCCAAGTATTATAATAATAACTGCTGCACCATTTAAGGTGGAACGGAAAAATTAGAAAAAGAAGCGGGTGAGTAAGAAGCGACTTCAGCTTCATATCAGCTAGAATAGAGTCTAATTTGTGTCTCATTAAACAATAATTGTGTCTAATTAACTAATTTGATCATCAGGACCCGCCGCTGCAGAAAGGTAGTTAAGCTAACTGGCTAAAACTGACTTACTCTCTCTCTCTCTCTCTCTCTCTCTCTTTACATGCCAATTATGTTCAGCATAACTTGGAAAAGATGAAAATACTGATTTGGGCTGAGTCTTTATTGTAGCTCCTGAAACTGATCAGTATAATCACTCCTTTCTCTAATATTTTTAGTTCAAATTTACCAAAACTACTAAGGAAATCTTGAAAATATGATTTCTTAATCAGCTGCTTTTTTCCGGGAAATAAATTTAAATAATAAATGCAGATTTAGGACAAAATGGACTGTTGGATTTATAGGCTTTTATTCTGATGAGTCCAACTCAGTCAATCACTTTAGTGACACTGAGAGATTTTATTGAGGCAGGTTAGCTCTTTTATTATTCTGATATTTTGAGAGCAGCTGAATTATTTTTAGAGTGATAAAATCATCAGTAAAGGTGTTTTATTTACTGTAATCTTCACTGAGAAGCTCCGCGCTGTGAGGATCAGTAAAACACAGCTCAGGAGGAAAATGACGGAGTTACTGAACTGAAATAAGCTGGCTGAACTTGAATTTAACTGGATGTTGAATTAATTCACAATTATTCTTTCAATCAACATATTTCAGAAAATAATTAAATTAATTTATTCAAATTAATCTAAATAATCTAAAAACTCAAGAGTTTAAAGAAAGTGAGTTTTATAAGTGAGACTTGTTGAGTCAAAGAATCTTTTCTCAGTACAATTGGACTGAATCAGAAATATGAAGATAATCACTTCCTGCTAATACAACATTCTGAGTCAGGAGGAAAAACACAGTGCTGGACCTTTAAAGAGCACTGAGGTGATGAGGTCATTATTATTATTACTAATATTAATTATGTTTCTTACATTTATCTCTGATACACACACACACCACACACACACACACACACATACATATATATATATTATATATATATATATATATATATATATATATATATATAAACATATATATAAACTATTTTAAAAGCTGATTGTTTAAATTTAATTCAATGAAATTACTCGTACAATAATCTGTTTGAAAAGCGGTTTGAGGTTCTCTGTGTATTTACAATTTTCCAGATCAGTTTCTGATATTAAAATCTTATCTTATTATTCATAATTAACACTTAAAGGGGAAGTTTTTCAGAGGTGGTGATAGGAACCAGACGTCCCCCTGAAACGCTGCCGGATGTGGGACACACAGCTGGTCTAAAATGTATTGAAGTCCATTCATAGAGAATCTCGGGAACAATCAGCCAATTAAAATGTACTCAGAGGGAAGGAAACTACGGCATGACAGCGGGGACAAAACGCAAAGCTGAACAGTAGGAGGCGTCATTATCTCCACTCTGGCGCCACCTACTGGATATTCAGGGAACAGCAGCTGTTCTGATGAACTAGCAGTGTTTCTCACTCTGAGCTGATCAGAATGAGGCTGACTCTGACTCTGATTACTGATGGAGTCTAACAGAGTCAGTCACAGTGCTCCTCTGCCATGGTGTGTGTTTCTGTGTCCATTGTGGAGCTTTCTGAACATGGCAGGAGGAGCTGATCTGGATGTTTCTGCTGGGTTAAAGTAAAAGTGTTTCCCCTAAAAACACACCTGGATAATTATATAGACCATCCTTCAGTCTGTATGACCCCAACAACAGATCAGTGATGATACGCTGGAGTTAAACGATAAAGCAGCGATTATTATGAATCGCATTCTTAATCAGACAGAAATCTGCTATTTATTTATTTATGATATTGTTATTTATTTATGATAAATAACTCAATTATTTATTTATTTGATAAATAACTGAACATTTAGATAAACACGGCATCATTGAGATTCAGTGAAATACATTATAATAATCCCACCAACCGTTCCAATCATACTGATCAATACTTTCTGTGCTGCTCGTGGCTAATTGGATGAACACACGCAGCCCTACAAACGTGTTTTGAACCTTTTCTCTTTCCGTAGTTCAGAGCTGCTGGGCGTTGGTTGGTGCGCGCGCCCAGGTGAGCAGGAGCTGAACTGGATCAGCGTCTGTTCAGAGAAGAGAAGATCATAAACAGAGAGAAAAGCTCAGAGGTAATTACTGAAGATCAACACTCACAGTTTACTGAGCAGAACAATGAGAACCACACTAATCTGAGAGGAACAGCTGCTGGCTTCTGTTTTAGGTTCTGCTGAAAGGGTCTGTTTGATAAAGTCAGATAACTGAAGCTAAGCTAAGCTAATGCTCAGGTAGCCAATAAACTCAGAGAAATGTTTGAGCTTTTAGAATATCAGAGCTTCTTTCTGTGAAGAGAATCTTTAATTTATGTAAATCACCACATTTTGGTTATAAATAGTTCAGAATGAGCTCCTTAAAGACTTATATTCTGGAGAAAAGATGCTATCGGCTAACAGCTAAATTAGTTGAGCTGTGGGTGACTCGTTTGTTCGTGCTGTAGTTGAGCTGTGGATGACTCGTTTGTTCGTGCTGCAGTTGAGCTGTGGGTGACTCGTTTGTTCGTGCTCGTTCGCCGTGTAGTTGTAGTGTAAGAGCTGATAGGATGATGCGGCTTCTTCTCGCAGGCTTAGAGAATAGAGGCAGAAAGACTTACAGGCCATATATCAATGAAAAAGCTTTCAGCATCTCTCAAAAACAAACCCACTGAATTCAGTGCAACCAAGACAGCACTCCACCAGCTTCAAATGAACAAACTCAAGACACAATACTCAAACACACCAATACCCATAACCATGCCACTAATTACTTTTTGAGAATACAGTAATCAGAGGTCAGACTCTGGTAGGGAGCATGGCTTTCAGGGTTCATTACAGACTGAACTCAAACACACCAACAGACTCTTAATGCAGTACATGTTTGTGGAGAAGGGGGCATGGCTGAGCGTCGAATGCAGGATGGAGAAGCCAGTCTGGCTGAACCAGCGGGATAAGTAGCTGATGATGTTCACCTGTGCCTTGTTTCTGCCAGCCTACTAATAGGCATCTCTTCCTTCAGTAGGTGGCAGAGCCCAGAGAGAGAAGGAGACCTATGAAAGTGCGTGAGCGGAGCTGAGCTAAACTAGAAAGAAGGAAAAGAAAGGACTGAAAAGTCCCAGCAAGCGCCTTGTTTTACTTTGTGGGCTGAGAAGCCGAGTGTTTTGCGTTGTGTATAAATAATAATAAAAGAAAGCTCCAAATCTTCACACCTGCTCCCGGCGTCTTTCCTCCACCCATTGTTAAAGTTGTTACAATGTTTTAAGAGGAATCAGCCCCGACCTTCTCTGGGTGATCTGGAGTAAACAGAGGACCTGATGTTCTGAGCTTTTAGATCCAGTTTCAGGTGTAAATCTGCGAGTTCTGTATGAAACACGAGCCTAAAGAACAAATGTATTAAAGTTTTCTGCTCCATAAACAGCACCTACTCTGATCTCTCTCACAGTGGGCTGATGGTGAATACCAGTTAATACTGACTGTGTGCAGTTTCAAACTGCTGTTCCTAAAACTTTGGGTCGATTTACACTCAACAAAGTGTCTTAAGAGCAAGTTTTAAAAATGTACAATATCTCAGTTTCCAAATATACTGAACTCAAACTCATCTGAGATGAGCAGGTGTTCCAAATCAGAAAGTCCAAATGAATAAATATTTTCCAGAATTTTCTGACTCAATCTTATTTTCTCATAATAATGACTCATTATAAAATAATCATGCACTTCCTTGATGAGTAATAAGATTATTGAGACCTTATTTTTGAAAATCTCAAGAAAAAATAATTATTTTAACCTAATGAGTCACAATATGAACCAAACCTGATTTTTTCCCCTCCTACCAGCAGAAAGAGCTCTATCAGGGGTCTGTGTTGTGTTGGTCAGATGTTAACTACGAAGTTGTGCTTGTGTTCATTTGTATGAAAGCTGCTAAACTGGCCACTTCAAATCTGACCCTAACCACACAGTTTATGAGCTGTGTTACATACAACTGTATAAAACTGTATAAAATTAATGAACATTAACCTTAGATTAATGTGATGGGTAGGACATTCAAGAATGGATGACATTCTCCTCAGACTCAGTTCAGACATTCAGAGGATCATCTAAGCCCTGCAGCGCAGCGTCAGCTGAAGACATCATGATTTTGATATGCGCAATGAGGGGAAACAGGGGGACTGAATTTACCATAACACCGGTCACCACTGAACCAATACAGTCATGTGAGCTTTATCTTACAATTTCTTCATACAGTGTAGGTTTATATTCCCTTCAAAATACTTTATTACTGACTTAGTTCCTGCTCAGTAATGGGGGAGTCCAGGGGATTCTGGAAGCCTTTTATTGCCAATTCTAATGTGTTTAGTCTTTAAAGTTATGTGGTTTTGTTCAGGTATGATGTTGCTGGGTACTTTATTATATAGTGATTTGAAATGTGTGATCCATATGTCTCCATTTTGAATGACCAGTTCCTCTGATTTTGGTTTATTTAGGGTGTTCCAGTGTTCCCAAAAACTAAATGTATTTATGGACTCCTTTATTAGTGTCAGCTGTGCTTGTGTGTGTTGTGCTTTTTTGATTCTGAGTGTACGTTTGTAAAGTCTTAAAGTCTCACAGTATTGAAGGTGTAAATCTGCATTATTTGGGTCTCTGTGTTTTTGATTTGATAATTTCCTTCATTCTTTGCTAATTTTCTGACATTCAATATCAAAGCATTTATTATCACTTGTTTTTTTGGGGGGTTTGTTCCTGGATTGTTTTAATTTACTTATTTGAGCAGGTTTAGTAAAAATGTGATTGATATTTCTGACTGCAAAATTGATGCCTTCATTACTGTGAGTGTTTGTGGTGTCCGGAAAGCTGTCTAAAGGTGTCTGAATTTTGGGGTTTCTGATTGCTTTCTGGAACTCTTCTGTGAGAGAGAAAGGGTCTAAATCTGTTATAATGTAATCTACTGTACTATTTCCAAGAGGTGAGCAGAAGGTAAATCTCCCCAAAGAGTCCCCTCGTAACCTACCATTGACAATGTACAGACCCAGACTCTGACAGAGCTGCAGGAGGTCCTTTCTGTTTCAGTTCACCTGTGAATCAGAGCTGTATCGGGGAGGTTAGTGATATTTCTTGAGTATTGGTGTCCGAATATATAACTGTTACCTTGCTCGGTATTGAGGTCAGGTAGAGATCCAGTGTGAGCATTCAGGTCCCCACACACTTCCCTGGGCCTGGAAGCTGCTGATCTGATCGTGCAGACTGGGGAAGATGTCATCATAATAAGGGGATTCACTGGGAGGGATGTAGACTGTACATAAAAAAATGTCTTTTGACGTGTTTGTGATTCCTTTCTTAATCTTCAGCCAAATATGTGATTTTTCTAATTTTAGAGGGGTTATGAATTCTGATAGCTCTGATTTATACCAAATTATAATTCCACCTGAATCTCTACCTTTTTTTAAATATGAGAGTGTTTAACAGAGGGGATGATTATTTCTTTATAGTTTGTGGGACAGTGAGCGATGGATTCAGATTTACACCAGGTTTCCTGGAGAATTATAATGTCGATGTCCTTTGTGTTGTTTGTGAATTCTTTGTTTTTACTTTTGTATCCAAATAGTGATGACTTTATGCCCTGAATGTTCCATGAAGAGATAGATAAGGTTTCATTCTTTAAATGTGTGTGAGATATAGAAAGAGAAAATACAAATACAAATAGCTTTAAAAGGCCATTAACAAGATATTTAATTACAATTGTATATAGTGTGTATGCTATTTATTTACTTAGTAATTATGAACATCACTTAGCTCAGCAGTCTGTTGCATATGAGACTGAGTAGCTGTTTGATCTCTCCCAGGTCTGTAATGCTGGTGGGGGCTGGAGTTTTTACTGCAGAGGCATAGGTCTGCTGCAGGGGCTGCCTGCTGAGACTGGGCACTGGTGGTGGATGCAGCGCTGGGCTGAGTCTGGGCTATCTGTGCAATGAGGTGGTCCGGTGTGTTACTCTGGGTGTAGAGTAGCTATGCTGCTGGGGCTGAAATAGGGGGCGGTAGTGATGAGTAGCTCGGTGTGTGCTGATCTCCCTAGGTGGTGGTGGGTACAGTAGTCTGGCTGTACGTAGGCTGGGTGGTCTGTTGCTCCTTGGGGGGCTGTATGGAGTGCGTCAGAGAGCTACATCCTTCAGATTTTTAGCAGAGGTGTTCACAAAGTCCTTATGTAGGTGGATGTGGTCATGGGGGCTGTGGATGCTGAGGTTGGGATGGCGTGCCAGATGCACATTAGATATTAATGCACATCCATGGGAGATGTCTGCATTAATCTTTTGGATGGTAGCAGGGTTGATGTCTCTTCGGGGTAGGATGGTGGAGATGGTGATCTTAGTGGAGGGGAAGTCTGTGCTACTTTCCTTAAACAGTCTGCCACTCTTTCCTGCTGTACCCTTAAATCATTAGTGCCGGTGTGAATGGTTATGTGGTTTGGTTCACCAAAGATGGCATGTGTAAGAAGGTGAAGAGTGTCGCTGGTTCGGGGACACCAAACTTTGCTTCCTGGGAAGAGCTGTACTCCATTTAAGAATTTTCTGTTTGAGTCAATCAGAATAATGATGTCAGCATCATCAGGGATATTTGTGTGTTTGTTTGTTTTTTCTTCTGGTCTGGACATTTTTGTTGTTGGTTGTGTGCCGGTGTGGTCAGGGAGGGGCTTAGACACAGCGGGGTGGGGCTCAGACTGGTCAAGGTGTGGCTTAGATTTGGCAGGGTGGGATTCAGGCTGGTCCGGGTGTGGCTGTGACTGACTGGGGTGTAGCTCAGGCTGGTCAGTGTGTGACTTTCTGCAGGCAGAATGTGGCTTGGGAAGGTCAGTGCATGGCTCTAGGTGATCAGGGCGTGGCTTGGTGCAATTAGGGCATGGCTCAGGCAGGTTAGTGTATGGCTCAGGCTAGACGGGATGTAACTCAAGTTGGTCACTGCGTGATTCTGTGTAGGCAGGGAGCTTAGGCCGTGGCTCAGGCTGGTCAGGTTGTGGCTCATTGCAGGAAGGGTGTGACTCAGATATTGCAGGACAGGGCTCAGCGTGGGCAGTCTGTGGCTTGAAGTGGGTGGGCTGTTTGTCTAAGGGATGGAGTATTTGCTGGCTGGTTTTGAGGCTCTGTAGCTTCAGGCTGGAAATAGTCGTGTCTCTGAGATGTAGTTCATCTCTGGGCTGAGTTCTGTGGGGTGCGTCTGCTCCTCTCTCCCCCGATTGCTGGGCTTCACTGCTGCTGCTCTGCCCCTCCCCCGCTTCACTCCCTCTCTCAGTCTCAGCCTTTGTCAGTGCTCTGATAAAGGTAAAGTCCTGCTGGACAGAGCTGAGACTAGCCTCACTGCCTTGAAACATGATGGTCCCATTGTGATAAACATTTACAGTCAGGAAACTGACATCACCGTCCTGGCTGTCTAAGGTTATCTGTCTCCTGTTACAGATGCCCCTCTTTCTATGCTACTTGTAGTGGGCACAGATAGCCCTGTGCCAGGCATCTGTGCGGTCAGTGTGTAGCAGGAGGTTTGTGACTGTAATTTTTTATGCTGATTGACTGGAATCTGCTAGGAGACATTCTGGGTTTTCTTTCAGTAATTTTTGTTTGTATGTTTTCTTTGTCTGTGCAGTTTTCAGTTCTTGTGAGTAGTTTATAGTGAGGGGGTGGAGCTTTCCTGCTGCTGCATTAGCCATCACACACACTCAGGCTAGCTGGAATAGCGTTGGAGCTAATTGTTGAAAATTAAAAATGTATATTTCTTTAGCCATTTTGTTGAGTTGGAGCTTCTTACCTCAATCTTCCTCAATGGCTTGAGTGAAGATTAGCCTTCTTCTTTTCTTGTTGTTTTGGTCTTTAGTTTTTTGGGTCACGCTTCATTTTTGCTAGCTGAATTAGCTTCTTTTAGCCTTTGCTTTTCTCTTTGTATTACTAAGCTTTTTTCTGCCAAATAACTTGTTCTCTTTTTTCCTTCCTGTAGGCAGTGTACTTCTGAGTACTTTTTTAACCGGTTTACTTTGGTTTATCTTATTTTGAAACTATTCTATTTGTAAAAAGTTTTAAGAGCTGCAGTGAAACATGACTGTACTCTCTCTCTCTGTCTCTCTCTCTCTCTCTCTCTCTCTCTCTGTAGATGTTATTCTATCTCACATAGACTCACTGAGGAGTTTTCATAAACCCAGAATCCAGCATAGAGTGGTTCAGTGAATGTGGTGGTGAGTGTGTGTAGGTGGGTCAGTGCGTGTGTGTTAGGGGAGATGGTGTAGAAGGACAGAGTGCCGGCGCCCCAGTCCAGATACACTCCTACTCTGTTAGAGGGGGAGGGGGGGGACAGGTAGGACAGTGAACTGTTTATTGTGTCTGACAGAGTACCTGTTATTATAGCAGATCAGACTCCAGGAGTGATTATTGTATCCAAATCCACAGTCAGCACTGCCTCCTTTCCTCCTGATTCCTCTGTATGATACTGATATTTCAGCTCTTCTGCTCCACTGAACCTCCCAGTAACAGTGTCCAGTCAGACTCTCCACACTCAGAACCTGACACGAGTAATCAAATCTGGCTGGATGATCTGGATACGACTGACCTTCTCCCACATTCTCCACCTTTCTGTTCCTCTCAGACAGAGAGAGACGACTGTTCACAGTGTTTGGATCCAGAGTGAGATCAACAGCATCTGTACACACACACACACACACACACACACAGATACATACACAGATATACACACACACACAGAGGAGACACAACACAGAAAATTTTGTGTGTGTGTGTGTGTTTGTTACATTTCTGTGGTCCTGGTTTGATCCTGATCTTCCCTCCATGATCCACCCTGAAGAACAAACACACACATTTATACACTCATTAAACTTCATATCAAAACTAACCCTTCAGACCTTACAGTCCAGATAAAACTAAACTAAAATAAAGACTAAAACAGATCATTACAGTATAAAACACCCTTCAGACCTTACAGTCCAGAAAAAACTAAATTAAAATAAAGACAAACATCAAACTGATCAAATCACCCAGTTAGGCTATTTACCTCTAAATCAAACTGTTAGGCTAGTTAACTCCAAATCAAAATGCTAGGCTACACAGCTGCAAATAGAACACACTGTTAGGCAAGTTAGCTATAAATTACATTGCTAGTTAACTATGAATCAAACTGCTAAAGTAATTAGATCTAAATCAAATTGCAAAGCTCATTAGCTCAAAATCAAATTGCTTGGCTACACAGCTCTAAATCACACTGTAAACTATTTAGCTCTAAATCACACTGCCAGGCTAGTTAGCTCTAAATCACACAGCCAGGCTAGATAGCTCTAAATCACACTGCAAGTCTAGTTAACTAGAAATCAAACTGCTAAAGTAATTAGCTCTAAAGCAAACCGCAAAGCTCATTAGCTCAATCAAATTGCTTGGCCACACAGCTCTAAATCACACTGTAGACTATTTGGCTCTAACTCATACTGCTAAGCTAGTTAGCACTAAATAACAATGCTGCACTTGTTAGCTCTAAATTAGACTATTAGGCTAATTAGCTCTGAATCACACTGCTAGGCTATTTAGTTAAAAAAAATCTCACTGCTTGGCTAGTTAGCTCTAAATTACACTGCTACGCTAGTTAGGTCTAAATCATACTGCCAGGCTAGTTATTGCCATGTCAGACTGCTAGGTTAGTTAGCTCTGAATCACATTGCAAGGCTAGTCGGCTGTAAATCACACTGCTCGGCTAGTTAGCGCTAAATCACACTACTAGTTTAGTTAGCCCTTATATACACAGCTATGCTACACAGCTCTGAATCACACTCCTAGGCAAGTTAGCTGTAAGTCACAGTGCAAGGCTAGTTAGCTCTGAATCACATTGCTAGGCTAGATAGCTCTGAATCAGATTTCTAGGCTAGTTAGCTGAGCAAGAGCACCTGTACACCGATAACTGTAAAGGACCATATGGAAGCTAGAAGTTCTCTGTCACTTATCCTAATATGTTGGTGAGTGCTGGCTGTTCTGCTTACCTATTCTGAACAAAGTAATAACCAGAATTCTGATAGAGACTAAATGCTAGCTCAGCATGCTAGCGCTGCTCTCTCCTCACACGCGCAGCAGCGGACGAGTGAGTGACATCACACATGAGGACGCTGAGACAATTATATGAAGCAACACGTGAGGCACTGCTAAAATACATAGGCTGAACAAAATACAAAATAAATGAATAAGTGAAGAAATAAACAAAAAAAGGAGAAAAGTGCAAACAGTTAAGATAGAAATAAAAAAGAGGGTTGACAGCAGTATGTCTAATGAAGAAACTATGGAAGCTGGAGCTGGAGTGTCTGATCTTGACCAACCACCTACATGGCTAAAAGTGCTGTTGGATAACCAAAATAAAAATAATCACCAACTGCAAATGATGCTCAAACCCATACTGCAGCAGATAACAAAAACCAACCCTGTATTCCCACAAGGCCAGCACACTGAATGACCATCAGAGAGACATCCTTACTTAAATGCTCACCAGCCATCACCATGGGAGAATCCACCGAGGTCCGGCAACATGACTGGCGGTCCTTTTGCTGCAGAACTAGATGTGATACAGCAATGAGCACGCAATGGAGGCCCTGGCAGAGCAAGTCTCCCCAATCCTGATGTGAAACATAGAGATGATGAGCGCAGTTTCCACGTTCAACATCCGCTTATTCTGCTGATTACAGATCTCTTAGTCCCAGCCAGCAGCCCCAACATGTTGTTTTGGAAGGCTCCAAAGCAAAGTTAGCTCTCTTTGATGGCACTAAAGACTGGGACTAATTTCTCTTCCCATTTGAAAGGCTGGCAAGAAAATATAGTTGGAACACTATATAGGGAAGACTATATGCTGTAGAAGGAACAGCTTACTCAGCATTTTGGTCAACGAGACCCTCCAACTATAGCCGGGAGGAAGTTGGGAGAGCTACGGCAGATCAAGGAGTCCACAGCTGAGTTTGCAGA